CCTGCCCTGGACACACTTTTAAATTAAGGTTGTTTCATATCTCTCGGATATCCTGCATTAACCTGCAGAGCTGGGCAGCGTTCCAGTCCATAAATTCCAGTATCTTGGGTGGAAGGCAAGCAGGAGCTAGCTGTACAGCCAGGAGTTCAGCTGATGAAGTTTTGTTCGTCCTCACTCACCAACTCTGCCATGTTTTTGTCTCTTTACGCTCTCCTGCAGCCCAGCAGTTTGTTTTCACCCAGCTCTTTGTCTCTCTGGAATGCCCTCAGCGGGACCCATGCCTTACATTCAGATTGTATTTTCCCTTCAAGGTGCACAGTTACCTAGGGAATGGACTCAGAGCCCCGGCCGTGGTGTGGGGCTGTTTTTGTCACCTAGCTAATGCACTTTGTCAGGTTTTTAGGGGTCAGAGCCCTCACCCCGCGTGTCCCCAGGCCTGGGGACAGCTGATTCTGGCTGGGCTGACATCTCAGGCTGCAGAAAGAAACAAAGCCAACATCTCCAACCTTCCATTCCTCATTTTTTCCCGCTAGATAGCACCTGTGAGAAGCCTGTCGAGGCTCCTGTGTTTTCTCAGGGCTGCTGCTGCCCTTTAAATTCCTTTGTGTTTTGGTCCTGTCCTCTCCTGCCCCGCTCTGCTTTGCTCCCTCCACAGAAAGGCTCTTGCAGCGGGTTTGCCCTGACATCCAAACACAGTTCAGAGCCTTCAGCCTCTCTGGTAATTTGTTTTCAGACACAGTTAAAGGCTTTAAACTGACGTTCCTAAACCTGTTACTCAAAAAAGTCAAGATTTTTTTTTGCTTTCAGTGGGTTTAGTTCTTGAGAAGACGGTCATTTATCTAGAGGGTGCGATTCACACTCAGAGGAGTTTTGCTATTTAGTGCAAATTGAAATCCTTTCCAAGGCAGGATAAGGAAATGGCATTATTCACGGCTCTGACTGCTCTGAGCAGCAGAGTGACACAGCAGCTCCTCCCTGTGCCCCACGCCCTCCCGTAGGAAAGCGATCTTTTATTCCCGCTCTGGCAGTGCCCATTGCTCGCCCAAAAATCTGGAGCTGCAGGAGGCCAGGAGCACAGTTAGGAGGGGAACCAGCCCAATTCTTGCTCGCGCTCCTCATGGAGGAGTTTTAAGGGTCCCGGTGGGTCTGGGTGTGGCTGTGGTGTGGTAGGGGTTAACACAGCTGGGCTGCAGGTGCCAGTCGCTCCAAGCCGGTGATCAGTGACCCGTGTCCAGGGCTGGGCAGTGCCCGTGTCCTGTCCTGGGGCAGGGCTGGGCAGTGCCCGTGTCCCCCGTGTCCCCCCATGTCTCCCCGTGTCCCCCGTGTCCCCCC